CCTCCTCTGAGTCTCAGTATGCTTTTCTCTTTCCTTCTAGTTGTAGAATTTCCACTCAGCCAGCCTTCCTGTAGTTCTGGATAATGTCTGTTCCGTCTTTTAGTTGTATTTTTGAAGTGGTTGTGCGAGGCAGCAATTTCAGGTGTTTTCCTATGCCACCATCTTGGTTTCTCCCAAGGTCAGTGTTTTTAATAATGGCCATTCTAATAGATTGTAGTAGTATATCATTGTGGTTTTATTTTGCATTTCCCTGATAACTAAAGATGCTCAACATCTTTTTATGTTCTTTTTTGCTATCCATATATCTTCTTTGGTGAAATATCTGGTCAAATGTTTTGCCCATTTTTAAAAATTGGGCTGTTTATTTTTTTATTATTGCATTTAAGAGTTCTTTATATATTCTGGATGCAATTCCTTTATTAGAAATGTGATTTGCAAATAGTTTTCTCCAAGTCTGTGGTTTGTCTTTTAATGTTTTTAACAGTATACATATTTTAGAAAGCAGTACTTAATTATGATGTAGTCCAATTTATCACATTTTTTTTCTTATATCTATTGTGCTTTTGCTATTGTATTTTAAAAAAATATTGCCTAACCTAAGGTCACAAAGATTTTCTCCTATGATTTCCTCTAGAAATGTAATAGTTTTAGGTTTTACATTTAGGTCAATGATCCATTTTGTGTTCACTTTTGTAGATGAGAAAGATATGGATATAGTTTCAATTTACTGCTTATGGATATCCAGTTGTTTCAGAACCATTTATTGAAAAGATAATGGCCACTTCTGGCTAATTCTTCATTAAACTTAAAAATAACTTTTTACTCACATAAGTTACAGATGCATACACTCTCCCTGTAAAATATAAAATAATTTTGACCATTTTTACACCCAATCATGCTTCCCCCCTATACTCCTCACCAGGCAACAACTCTAAGAACATCAATTTGAGCTGTATCCTTCCAGATTTTTTTCTAGGTATAGAAACATATAATGTAATGCTTTGTTGTGTTTATAAGACCATCCTTTATGTATCATTATGAATCTGGGTTTTTGGTATATAACAACATCTCTCAGAGATATTTCCATGTCAGAACATAGAGATCTACCTCATTTTCTTTAGCTGTTTCTTAGTGTATCACGGTACACTACATCTTACTTTGTTTTACCGTCAGCTTATTGATGAATATGTAGTTAATTTCTGTTTTTTGTTTTTCTTTTCTATTGCTATAACAATGCTGGAGATGAGTACCCATGAACCTCTTTTGGTGCTAAGTGCTTACCTAGGTAGATACTGAGAAGTGGAATTTACACATCAAATGTAAAACATTTATTATATGCTAAGTGCTATTCTAAATGCTTTACATATATGGATTCACTTCATGCACACGACAACTCCATGATTTTATCCTTGTTTTACAGATGAGGAAACCAAGGCACAGAAAAGTTGAACAACTTACCAAACACCTCACAGTCAATAGCTGGGCCAGGATTTGAATTTAGATAGTTTGGTGACAGAGCTCAGTTTGCAGGGTCATAGGTTATGGGCACTTTTTTTTATTGTTGAAGGTATTATAGATGTCCCCCTCCCACCCACTCCCCTGGCATTTACCCCCTCTACCCCACTCCCACACTGCCCAGGCCTTTACCATACTATTGTCTGTGTCCATGGGTTATGCATATATGCACATAAATTGTTTGGTTAATCTCTTCTCTCCCCAATCCCTTTTCTCTGAGATTTGTCAGTCTGTTCTATGCTTTCATGTCTCTGGATTGATTTTCTTCCTCAGTTTACTTTGTTTATTAGATTCCTCATATAAGTGAGATCATGTGATACCTGTTTTTCTCTGACTGGCTTATTTAGCTTAGCATGATACTCTCCAGGTCCCTCCATGCTGTCTCAAAAGGTAAGAGATCCTTATTTTTTACAGCTGCATAGTATTCCACCATGTAAATGTACAACCGCTATTTTATCCACTCATCTACTGATGGGCACTTTATACATTAAACTAAGTTTATTGGGGTGACCTTGATTGGTAACATTATATAAGTTTCAAGTGTACAGTTCTACAATACACCATTGGTATATTGCATTGTGTGCTCACCACCCAAAGTTTGCTCTCCTCCATCATCTTTTTTTACTTTTCTTTTACCTCATCTTGCTTTACTTTTCCTCACAGTACAATCTCTGCTTATGTATATTAATTTGTTTATTGCCTCTCTCACCTCACCCCCCCCCCACCTCCAAATGTCAGCTCTATGAAGGCAACCTTTTTGTTTGTCTTGTTCTCTGCTATACTCAATATCTGGAACAAAATTTTTGTTGACCCACTGAATAAGTGAAAACCATTTCATGCACAAGGAAATAAAGTCTCAGAGAGATTAAACAATTTAATCAAACTCCCACTAGCACATGGTGGAGCTGGGTTTAAAAGCCAAACTAATTCCAGGGCTTGACAATGCTCATAACAGTTTAGCCTACCGTGATCTGTTTTTCATTTCTGTAATTATGTTATTTCACGGATGTCATATACGTGGAATTATGCAATAGGTATTGTTTGGAGATTGGCTGTTTTTCACTTACCCAAGTTGTCCATTCCTCTTTATTGCTGAACTAGAGGCCCGGTGCATGGATTCATGCACTGATGCGGTCGCTCAGCCTGGCCTGTGCCCTCTCGCAATCCAGGACCCCTCAGGGGATGTTGGACTGGGGAGGAGCCCCAGCTGG